AGATGCTAAAATGAGGGCTTTGGCCTGCCTAATTTTGAACTATATTATTATGCAACAAGTTTAATGTGGATTAAAGAATGGATAACTTTAAGAAATACTAGATTATTGAATTTGGAGGGACACAATTTGTTGATGGGATGGCATGCCTTTTTATGGTATAAAGGAACTAAAATACAGGGTACTTTAGAAGACATCAGATACATGAAGCTTTATGGTTGAATTGGGAGAAGGTTAAAAAAATCATTATTTGAAGATTCCAGTCTGGATATCTACAATTGAAGCTTTCTCATATCCAGTAATATTTAAAAGGGAACAAATTATTAGATATAGTGAATTATTGGATGAAAAGGGTGAACTTAAATTAAAGCAGGAACTAGAAGATCAGGAATGTAAGATGGACTGGTTTTCATATATGCAAATATTTTCTAGATATCAAGAAGATCTCAAACAAGAAGGTTTTTATAATGTTTTGACTAATTTAGATAAGATTTTAATGGGTTCTGATGACCATGTAATTAAAAAGTTATACAGATATTTGTTAGAGGTAAAATTGGAAGAAGAACAAGTTAAAGAATCAATGATAGTGTGGGGGAAAAATTTAGAGAAATGGCAAAAATTGTGGTCACATAATTATAAAATATAAGGAGAATATAATTCTCCTTATATGTGTGGTCACATATAAGGAGAATTTGTATAAGATGTTTTACAGATGGCACTTACCCCTGACGAGGATAGCTAGAATGTTCAAGAATAAATCAGAGAAATGTTGGAAGTGTCATCAGACCTCAGGATCATATTACCATATGTGGTGGACATGCGTAGAAGTGAGGAGATACTCTACAGAGAAAACTTGTATAAAATGTTCTACCAGTGGCACCTCCCCCTGGCGCACCCAGCAAAAATGTTTCCGAATACCTCCCCAACGTGTTGGAAGTGTAAAGCACAAAAAGGAACTTACTACCATATGTGGTGGTCATGTCGAAAGGCGAAACAATATTGAAAGGAAATAAGGATACAAATAGAAGAAATTACAAATCAGAAATTGGAAATGAAACCGGAAATTTTTCTACTAGGAATAATTACATGCCATTATGAGAAGGAAATAAAATATTTAATCATCCACATACTAACTGCAGCTCATATACTCTTCGCTTAAAACTGGAAACATGAAGACATACCAACGGAAAACAAAATAATCACTAAAATTATGGAATGTGCAGAAATGGATAGACTTACAAAAGAATTACAAGAAAAAGATGATACAGACTATTATTTAGTCTGGCAAAAATGGTATAACTGGTTGGAGAAAAAGAAAGCAATATAAACATAGGGACACAAAAGAGGGGTCAAATTAGAGACAAAAATTGAGTACCAAATAAGGAACATAACTAATTAAATATGGAATCTATCATACTGTTTTATATGTAAATATATGCAGATATATAGATAAGAATATAAAAATAGTCTACTGATGTGATAACTTTAAAAAGAAAGTCATAATGACTTGATTTATGTTTATTTGTTTTGTATGTTGTACTGTTGTATTTATGTTTGTTCGTTATTTTTAACTAATAAAAACTTAATAAAAAGAAGAAGAAGAAGCGAGGAGATATTGGACTAAGATACACACGTGGTTAGAAAAAATGATAAAGAGACATATTGATTTTAAACCAGAGACATTTTTATTAGGGATCTTACCAGAGACATTCAATAAAGAATTGCAATATTTAATTGTGAATACTTTATCAGCAGCTAGAATTGTATTTGCTAAAAATTGGAAAGGAGAGCAGATATCTACTGATGAAGAAATTATTAAGAAAATGTTGGACTGTGCTGAAATGAGTAAATTGACATTTGCAATAAGAGAACAGGAAGATAAACAATATTATTTGATATGGGATTTATTTTATAATGGATAGATAATAAAACATGGAGATGAAATATGATATATGAAATGAAATTAAGATAAAATGTGTAAAAACTTGTTTTGTTTTGTTTTTTTTAGGAGAAAAGAAACGTATGTCATATATTGATATTTTGAAGATTTTGGGAGCACGAAAGGATTTTAACCGTCCAAAACACTATCTGTAATTGTTTGAAAGGATGTTTTTATGTTGTTTTTGTTTGAAAATTAAAAAAAAATTCAAAAAACCTCATAATAATAAAAACTATGGTATCAATAATCTATCCTGCACATCCTTACTACACATTCCTATAGTAAGTGGAGTAGTACGGACTAATGGCCAGCAGGTGGCAGAAAAAGACAAATATGCAATACAGAATACAAAATACAGTGGGGGGAAGGTGAATTTCTGGAGGTTATGGAACACTTGTCATTATTCTGCTATATTGTTATTTGAGTTAGCTGTAAATGTAACAGTATGAACTTATTTCTTAGCATATGAAGAGTCATACTGCACATTGAAGCCTATGCATTCATGTACATATACTGTACATTTGGTAAAGTTCAGAATAACTGAACAACAAAGTTGAAAGAGATCTTGGAGTTCTTCTAGTCCAACATCCTGTTCAAGCAGGAATACCTAGAGGGGTGAAATGCTCCCGGTTCGGACCAGATGGCTCGATCTGATAGCGATGGCAGAGCGTGGTTCGGAGAACTGGTAGCAAAAATCCCTGTGCCCCCCCCCAAAGCTGATGCCCAGCTGAGCCGCACAATCATCAGAGGCTTTTTTTTTTTTTTTACTTTTAACAGCATTTTTTCTACAACCTCTTCGGCCGAAAAAATGCTTTTAAAAGTAAAAAAAAAAAGCCTCTGATGAACGCGTGGCTCAGCTGGGATTGTTAGAGGCCTTTCAAAGCATTTTTTTCTGCGACCTCTTCAGCCGAAGAGGCTGTAGGGGAAAAAATGCCTTTAAAAGCCTCTGGCGATCCCAGCAGACTAGCCTGATCGTCAGAGGCTTCTAAAAGCATTTTTTTCCTGCAACCTCTTAAGGTTGTAGAAAAAAATGCTTTTAAAAGGGGGGGGGGAAGTTGACCACACCCACTCAGTCACATTACCCCCCCCCCCACCAAGCCACGCCCACAGAACCGGTAGTAACAAATTTAGATTTCACCCAGAATACCTATACCATTTTTAACAAATGGATGTCCAATCTCCTCTTAGAGAAAACAATGTTCAATGTTCATGTCAGATCCCTAAAGTGATACTGCCAATCAATTGGGAGAAGGGGAGGCTTGTATTCGATTTACTAGCATTGCCTGTGTCAACAGATATTTTACAACCTATATCCTGGCGCCAAAGAGCCCTGAGATCCCCTTAAAGTTGAGGAATGTTTATGACAGCCATGTGGACTGTTTCACTTTAAAAGATAATGGAGGATAGTGATGTGAATACATACTTATCCGGTTCTGAGGGCAGCTGGTAAAGAAAACATCTTCACACTTGTATATTGGCTGCATTCTGGCTTAAGGGAGGGGTCTCTACTGCTTTAATCCTACTTGTCTTGTCTTCAGATGTTGCTTTGAATCCATTGCTGTCACTTCTGCTTAATAAAAGGTGCCTTTTGAGATACTACCTTTCAAGAGTTTTTATTTTCTTAAGTTGGAAGGAGAGGCAATCCTTACAGAAAGCAATGTCTGCAAAACATTCAACCCAGAGAAGCAATTTTCGCTCTACTGAGGGGACCTTGCAAACCATGTCCAAACGAAGCAGGGAACAGGGAAAAGCCGAAGCTGGGGGGAGACATCAACCACCACCCGGTTGAATGCCTGTTTTGTACATCCCATCAGAGAGGATGAGATAACACTGGAGAATCCTGAAAAGCCCTGCTGGTCATTGGCATCAGGAAGAAAGATAGCTGGGATGAGAGAACCAGAGGAGTCAACCTCAGCCATGGTAACTGAAAACCAGAGTGGAAACTGGAACTAGAAGCCCTCGCTGAGCAGGGGAAACTAACTGAAGCACCACTGAGGGAGGATCATCTGAAGAGGCATAAAACCCAATTGGTGATGGAAACTTTGGAAGATCTAAACAGCAAAGGAGCGCAGAAAGGACAGCAGTCGCGGATGATGCCAGGGGAGGCACCCCCCTTCTGGAGCCCACCTATCGAGCAGATGGCGCAGAAGCAGTGGGAGAAGACCCAGAAAACCCTCCCCTCTAGGTAGCATGCACACCAGCACCCATTCCCAACCAGCCCCGAGTCCCGCAACTGGAAAGTGAAACTCCCTTCCTTGAGGTGAAATTTGATGGGGATCCACAACAATTACGATTCTTTTTGCATACGTGGTCACCTATATGCAAGAGTATGGGCATGATTTCCAAACCCAAGGATCCTGATGTGAGTTGTGACCCTAGCCCTAGAGGATGCCACTGCCAGATAGATGGTGACTGAGAGAAATAAGGATTATTCCTGTAAAAAGTATATCCTGAGCTATGCCATTTTAAGTGCCTTATTTTACCTTGTATAACCTGATTATATAATTGAATTAAGAAAACATAATAAGAACATGAGAACGTGAGAAGAGGAGCTGTGCAGTTCCTAAAGATGCTTGTTTTGCAGGATATATGATGCATAAACCAATGTTCTGGGTCACTTTGCCCCTCTTCAATAAGAGGAAGTACGCACATAATGATACCACGTGCATATTTTCGTGTAAGGTATTTTTACTGGGAAGATAGGGAATTTCCAGGGCGGAATATGTGCCAAATATGTTATATAAGATCTGAAACTGATGCTCTAGGGACCTGCTTATATCCTGTTTTATTGGACTTTTGTATCCTGAATATTGTATATAAGATCCATGAGTGCTCCCTTTTCCTCTGGAGGGGAGTCACTTTGCAAAGTTATAATAAATAACTGTCTTTGGTCTGTTCATAGTCTCTGTTTTTATTCCTAAAAAGGTAAAGACTGGTTTCCTGAATATTACAATTGGCACTGAACGGGATTTGAGGACTTTTCGTCTGGTAAGGAAATTAACCTGATAAGTGCGCACACACTGTTTAAGTGTACAGGCTTATTTCCTTTCCAGTCGGGATTGCTCTTCTTAGACCCTGAGACAGAGACGTGAACGCCAAGGCAGTGGAACGTTCCTGGGACTACAGTGCACTGGGAGTGAGTTTATGTTTTTTTGGGGTTTTCTTTTTGGTGGTTTGGCTTTGTGTATGTTTGGGACTGTTTGTGTATGTGTATGTGTATGTTTGTATGGCCTGTGTGGTCTGTGTGTAATTACTAAAACAGACAGGGACAGTATGGGGCTTTTACTGGGCAAACGTGTTGATGATACTAACAATGAAATACCGTTCATCCCTCCTATATCCCCCTTAGGGGAATTGTTAACTCAGTGGACAGAGGATTGGTTGAAAGCTTATACTAAACAGTTAGATAAGGTGACTATGATTAATTATTGTACTAGGGTTTGGCCGACGTTTGTTTTGATACAGCCTAATTATAGGTGGAGTAAGTTTGGGAATCAGACCCATATTTGGATTAATGCTTTGAAGAAGGTTTTGGAGAAAAAGAAATTGAGATCTCAGTTATGTGGAACCATGGTTTCATGTTCAGTGGTTTGACCCCTTTCTCTAGAATGGGAAGTTCTAGAGTTTTGTATAGGAAAAAAGAAGAAGAGAAAGGCTGGGATCCTTTAGCTTATTCCACATGTCCACCTCCCCCTCCTCCATATAATCAGAATGGAGCAGGAGCTGTGGGTGAAATTGATGAGGCTGCTGGGAGCAGTGTGGGAGAGACTTCGGCAGTGCGGCAATATCAGCAGTTGAGAGGGAGGTGGATGAACTGTCAGTAACTGAGACAGAATCAACCCCCTTCCCCTCGTGTGACACGATCACAGACAAAGAAGATACTCCCTTTAAGGGAAATGCCTAATGGCATTACTGGTGCAGGTGTGCCTATTACAACGTTTGTGAATGTGCCTTTAACATCTTCAGATTTGAGAAATTATAAAAGTAACATGCCGTCTTTGCAGGCAGATCCTATTAAGTTATCTGAATCATTGGATCTGTTCTTGGGACCCAATCTGTATACATTTGCAGAATTACAGCATATATTGGGTTATCTGTTCTCTCCTGAGGAGAGGTCACAAATACGGAAAGCAGCTATGGCTTATTGGGATAAAACCCAAGTAGGGGCTGCTCAGCCCGTTGCTGCTGAAACTAAGTTTCCATTAGCTGATCCTGGTTGGAATAATAATAATTTAGCTGACCGGGAGCAAATGGAGGACCTGAAGTGGATTATACTTCAGGGAGTCAAGACAGCTGTACCTCAAGGAAAGAATTTAACTAAAGCCTTTGAGGTGGAACAGTTGCGGGATGAAACACCTTCAGTGTTTCTGGAACGTATTAAGGACAATTTAAATAAGTACTCTGGTCTTTCTCCTGAAACACCAGCTTATGAATCCTTAATGAAAATGCAGTTTGTGATAAAGGCATGGCCAGACATCAAGAAGAAGATACAGAAAATTGATGACTGGGCTGGCTCTGATATTACCGTTCTGTTGAAAGAAGCCCAAAAAGTTTATGTGAATAGAGATGAAGTAAAGACTAGGCAGAAAAATCAGATGATGGTGTCTGTGTTAAAGGCTGCAAATAAGCCAGCAGATAGAAAGGAGGTGGGATGGAAGAGGAAAGGGCTTTGTGAAACAGCCTTCCACTGTGATGAGACAACAGCATCCTGGAATTGGGAGAGGTTTCCTCCAGTGGAGAAAGCCTAGTGCTGGTGGATCAGAAAGCAGGAAATGTTTTGCATGTGGCAAAGATGGGCATTTTGCTAGAAATTGTCCTGAGAAGAGAAGATCCCAGAGGATGGAGCAGTGCCTCTATACCCTTATGGGAGAAGAGGATGATTAGTGGGGTTTTTGATAGAGGGATCCCACCAAGAGCCCTTGATAAATTTATTAGTGGGACCAGAGGAGGAGGAACATGTGTTTTTAATAGACACGCATGCAACCAGAACTTCTATTTGCCAATTACCAAGAGGAGTGCATCCAGCTGGGGTAACCATTAAGATAAGGGGAGGTCAAAGGTATACCTTTTGATGTGCTGTTGTTAAAGAAAATGAAACTGGGTTGTGTTGTGGCTCCGTTACCTGAGCCTGTGTCATTGGCAGGAGAGGATTCCGAGAGTGAACGAGAGGAGTTGGCAAGGCCTCCCTCTCCAGGACCCTCCTCTCTGGCAATGCCTTCGGTGTCTGCTGAAGGGCAAGAGATAGGGCCGGGGCCAAGCATGTCCACGCAGCCACAGGTGGACAGTGATGAGGGTAATGAGTCTTGGCTGGATCCTCAGCAGCGTCGCAGAAATAAGCACGCACAACAGAAGAAAAGGCATGCCAGAGATTAGGCTGAGTCACTGGACCACACACCACAGGGTATAAAAGGGGGTGAGGTGGCCATTCAGACTCTGTGACAGACAAAACTAACTACTATCGAGTCACATTGCATCTTTGGAAACAACATTATCGGCCTTGGATTTATTTTACGAAATGGACAATTCTTGACTGTGTGTATTTTGTTTATTGAGTAAAAGTTCTTGGCAAGCAGCTACTGGGTTGCTGCCAAGCGTCTTATTGGAAGAATTGGTTGTCTGCCAGTTTATTTAACCCCCGGTTGTCTGTTTGTGTGCGTGTGTGAGACGGGGACAGAACAGGTTGTGGAAAGCGTATTATACATTTAGATGTGATACTTGTACCAGAAGCAGACATTAATCTGCTTGGGAGAGATGCATTGTCTCTTCTGGGCTGTGAGCTTAAGTTTTCTAGTGGTGATTCTACTGTCAATGTATTGACTGAAGAGCAGGAGAGGAATATTGACCCGATAGTTTGGGAAATGGAAGGGAATAGGGGTGTCCTGGATATTCCTCCGTTGAAAGTAACTTTGAAGGAAGGGGCACTTCCTGTAAAGATTAAGCAATACAACATACCTATAGAATTGCGGAGAGAGTTGAAATCAGTGATAGAGAAATTGTTAGATGATGGATTGATTGAGCCTACTATGTCCCAGTACAATACACCTATATTACCTGTCAGAAAACCTGATGGGTCGATTCGCGTGGTCCATGATCTGAGATCCATTAACCTGTTAGTTGCCAGTTGACACTCAGTAGTGAATAACCCCTATACTCTGTTAAGTCATATACCACATTGCCATAAATATTTTAGTGTGATAGATTTGAAGGATGCTTTTTGGACATGTCCCTTAGTGGAGGAGTCAAGGGATATCTTTGCTTTTGAATCGGCTGATCTAGATACTCATAGAAACCAGCAATATAGATGGTGTGTTTTGCCACAGGGATTTTCTGAGAGTCCAAACCTATTTGGACAGATGTTGGAACAGGTATTGGAGAGATTCTGTGTTCCTACTGGTATTCAGGTGTTGCAGTATGTGGATGATTTGTTGTTATCTGGAGAGAAGAAGGGTGTGGTTGAGAAAGGAACCAATGCTTTGCTGAATTTTTTGGGTAAGAATGGCTTGCAAGTGTCCAAAAGGAAACTTCAGTATGTAGAACTGGAAGTTAAGTATTTGGGACATTTGATAAGCCAGGGAAGTAAATGGATTAATCCTGAGAGGATAGAAGGAATATTAACCCAACCCTTGCCGAAAACGAAGAAGGAGGTTAGGAAATTGCTTGGTTTGTTGGGGTATTGTAGATTGTGGATTGATGATTACACAGATAAGGTTTGATTTTTATATGATAAATTAGTAGAAGAAGAACCATGGACAATTGTGTGGCAGGAAGGTGATGAGGCTAGCTTGGAAGATTTGAAGAGATCTTTGATTCAGGCTCCAGTCTTGAGCTTTCCAGATTTGAAAAAAACATTTCACTTGTTTGTAGCAGTGGAGGATGGTATTGCTAAGGGAGTGTTAGCTCAGGCTTGGGCTGGCAAGAAGAAACCTATAGCTTTTCTGTCTAAATTAATGGATCCGGTGGTGAGAGGTTGGCCCTTGTATGTGCAAGCAGTAGCAGCAACTGCTTTATTGGTTGAGGAGAGCCGAAAGTTGATGTTTGGTGGTGCATTAGTTGTGAGTAGCCCACACCAAGTAAGGACAATCTTGATGCAGAAAGCACATAGATGGCTCACGAATGCAAGGCTTCTGAAATATGAGGTAATTTTATTGTCCCAGGAAAATTTGGTTCTTTCTACTGATAGGAATTTGAATCCAGCAGAATTCTTGTCAGAGGAAAGGAAGGAATGGGATAATATAGAGCATGATTATGTGTAAGCTATAGATTTACAAACGAAGATCCGAGAAGATTTAGAGGATAGTCCATGAGAGGGCGGTATTAACCTATTTATTGATGGTTCTTCCCGGTTGAGAATGGGAAAAGACTGAATGGTTATGCAGTTGTGAATGAGGACACCCCTGAAATATTGGAAGCTGCAAAGTTGCCATCTGAATGGTCGGCACAGACATGTTAAGTTTTTGCTTTGTTGCAAGCATTGCATTTGCTAACTAATGAAGTAGGAAACATTTATACTGATTCAAAGTATGCTTATGGTATTTTACATACTTTTGGTAAAATCTGGATTAAACGGGGATTGATTTCTAGTAAGGGAAAGGAATTAAAACAAGTTGATCTTATAACAGCTGTTCTGAAGGCAGCTAAGGCCCTACCAAGCTTGCTATTGCTTATGTTGAAGCACATAAGAAGGGGACTTCAAAATTGATTGTGGGAAATAGAATGGCCAATGAAGCGGCTAAAGAGGCAGCTTTAGGAGGAGATGCTATTATGATTTTAGTTCCTACATTAACCTTTGATGTAACTCCAGTATTTACCGCTGATGAAGAACAACAAATGGTGAATGAGGGGGTGCATCAGGTGAATGGAAAATGGATGACTAAAGAGGGAGTGCAAATTCTTAACAAAGCTGTGATGAGGAATGTGATTGAATGTGTGCATGAGGGAACTCATTGGGGAACGCAAGCACTTATCGATTTCATTAAACATACATATGTATGTAGGGGTATGTATACAATAGCTATGCAGGTGGTACGGAAGTGTATACATTGTATAAGAATAAATAAGAAAGTTATGAGAAAGCAACCAAGGGGAGGTAGAGACTTAGCTGTCTGGCCTTTCCAACGTATCCAGGTGAATTATACAGAAATGCCAGCAGTTGGGACTCTTAAATATTTATTAGTCATAGTAGATCATTTGACTGGATGGGTTGAAGCTTTTCCGTGTGCAAGGACAAATGCTCAAATGACTGTTAAGATCATATTGGAACAATTGATAACATGATATGGTTTAATTGAATCCATTGATAGTGATAGAGGTACACATTTTACGGCCCAGGTAGTGCAACAGGTAATGAATCAATTAGGAATTGATTGGCAATTTCATTTAAGTCACACGCTGGCATCTTCTGGCTGTGTGGAGAGATTTAACCAGACTATAAAATCTACATTGAAAAAATTAATGTTAGAACTCCAACTACCCTGGATGAAATGTTTGCCTTTAGCTCTGTTACGAATAAGAACTAGTCCTAGAAGGATTTGGGAATATCTTCATATGAGATGATGTTTGGATTGCCGTATACAGGGAAAGTTGGGATGCCTAGAATAGAACCGAAAGATGTTTTTCTGCTAAAATATATACAAGGACTGTCCCAGTGTTTTTCTTTTTTAAGGTCCAAAGGACTATTGGCACAGACTCCACCTTTTGATTTCCAAGTAGATGAGTACAAAAGCCGAGACTGGGTCCTGATAAAAGCCATTAAGGAGACAAAATTGCAGCTGGTGTGGGAAGGACCGTTTCAAGTGTTGCTAACCACTGAATCGGCTGTGAGAACCAAGGAACGAGGCTGGGTGCATTATTCTAGAGTGAAAGGACCGGTGGCTTCGCCTTATGGATGGACAGTTGCTACAAAACCTACAAATCCTCTTAAATTGACTTTTAGACGACAAACCTTAGACAATTGATGACCAGCGGATGGAAGAAGAAATTTGTATTTGGCTGGGAGTAATATTACTTTTTGCTATGTTTTTGATTGTATTAAGAAAAGATATAATTGATTGGTGTAAATCTATGCTTTGGTATCCAGTGGATGTAAGTTCCCCTCGAGTGATTGATACTTTGGTGGTAAGATAATAAACTTTTATCTTTCTGGACAATAAACTGGGGGAGGGGGCTAGTCCACTAGGAAAATGGGGTCCATTGTGGTAGTGTTTATTATACTACAGGTGCAGATAGGGATGGGAATTTTGGATGTGTTGCCTAGTTACCCTATAACATGGCAGCAGCTATGTTTCCATACCGAACTCGAGCATCGTTATTCCCTTATAAAAACACCACTGAGGAGGCAGCACTGAGGAGGCTGAGATATGTATACAATCATCTTTTGGGGATGTTATACTGCTGGGCAGATATGTGCAACAGTACAAATGAAATAGCCCCTAAATACATTGATCTTTCAAATAGAAAGATTCTTATACAATCAATGCACTGAACAATATGGTAATTATACCCCTTCATATAAGATGTTCCAAATTTTAGAGGAAGAGTTACACTTTCCGTATCTGGAATTAAAAGCCCCTGCTAAGTTGATGTTCTTATGTGGTAACATGGCATTGCCCAAATTACCTTTTGTATGGAAGGGACGATGTACTGTTGGTTACCTTAAAGCACCTTTACGATATACCAGAAGCATTGCGGAGCCGAGGAAGAGAGAGGGCAATGTATTTTTGGATTTAATGAAGGTGGTCTTAAACAGTTCTTCCTTTTGTATCAGAGGTGAGACAACTGTCTCTGATATAATGGTGACATGTTTTGTGGGGGTGCCTGTTCCAGGAAAATTTTTATTTGAAGAAGCATGCATTACAATAGAACCATATAATTTTAATTTGTCACATGTTATAACAATATTTGGAAGTCCACAAAAGCCAACTAAATGGACTAATCAGAAGAAACTGGTAATTGAGGTTAAAACAATATTACCAGCATATGATTGTGTAGTTTATAAACACCCTGAGAAATGGCAGGAGAAGATGATATATGTTCCTGTGCCTACTGAGAAGGTGTTTCACTGTTCCGAAACGGAGGAAGTGGAAGCTATTGGCCAGGTTCTATATTTGCCTAGAGGCTGGTTTCTCTTTTGTGGATTGTATGCTTATGCATATATCCCTGCTCATGCCATAGGTGGTCCTTGTACCATTGGCCGTTGGACTACTATTATGGCCGTTGCACATTTAAAAAACATATATCATAATATGGAGTTTTATTATCAGATGATGAATGTAAGTTTATACCATACTGACCATGTTCCTAAGAAAGTGGCTACCAAGGTAACTATCCATGAATGTATTGAAACTGTAGAGGGACACGGAGATAAGGAAATCCCTAAGCCTGGAAAAGAACCACATTTAGTTATATATGCTCCTGCAGACCCTACTAAATGGCATATACCACCCATAGAACCTTATGACAATATTGGGGAGGGAACATATAAGGGGATCTATAGAGGTAGAATGGATACTACACATTGGCATTCGATACTACCTGTAATGACGATGTAATAGTGTTGAATAAAGTCCAAGCTGGACTTTGGGGAATGTTTCCATGGATATCTACACAGTATAACCAATTACAACTTGGACACTTAGCTTGTGCTTTAGCTAAAAGTATAAATGAAACATCGTCTGATATTGCTGCATTGGCTGATGAGATGGGAGAAATAGGAAAGTCTTTGTTGCAAAATAGGGTAGCTGTAGATTATATGTTATTAAGGATGGGTCATGGATGCGAGGAATTCCAAGGCCTTTGTTGTTTTAATATATCCGACAAATCTCAATTTATAATCCAAGTTGAGTTCATTACATAATATTACTACACATTTAACTCATGTAACCGAAAATGCAGCTTTTAAGGGAGCTTGGGACACAGTAACCTCATGGTTACCCAGTTTTGCATGGTTGAGGGAATTGTTTGTTGGTATTATACTCATTATAGTTATAGGTCTTATTTCATGTCTTTGTATTAAATGTATACCTGTATGCTGTAGAGCGAAAAGACAGAAGAAACTAACTGGAGAATCACGTGGTATCTTAGGCTGCAGAGAAGTTTCTATAAGTTGCAGGACATACATAATTTACAGGAATAAAAATTAAGGAAAAGGAAAAGGGAGGATTGAGAGAAATAAGAATTATTCCTGTAAAAAGTATACTCTGAGCTACACCATTTTAAGTGCCTTATTTTATCTTGTATAATCTGATTATATAATTGAACTAAGAGAACATAATAAGAACATGAGAACATGAGAAGAGGAAATGTGTAGTTCCTAAAGATGCTTGTTTTGCAGGATATATGATGCATAAACCAATGTTCTGGGTCACTTTGCCCCTCTTCAATAAGGGGAAGTACGCACATAATGATACCACGTGCATAAGTGGTATTTTCGTGTAGGGTATTTCTACTGGGAAGATAGGGAATTTCCAGGGCAGAACATGTGCCAAATATGTTATATAAGATCTGAAACTGATGCTCTAGGGACCTGCTTATATCCTGTTTTATTGGACTTGTGTATCCTGAAGTATGTATATAAGATCTGTGAGTAGAAGACCTAATTGCTCCCTTTTCCTCTGGAGGGGAGTCACTTTGCAAAGTTATAATAAATAACTGTCTTTGGTCTGTTCATAGTCTCTGTTTTTATTCCTAAAAAGGTAAAGGCTAGTTTCCTGAATATTACAGTGACCCTGCATAACCCCGATGCACTAGAACTTCGGGATTTCGACCATTTCATGATGGCTCTGCAATGATGGTTTGAGGACCCCCTAGCTGATTGCAAAGCATGCGACCGCATTAAGGTAGTGAAGCAGGGGTGATGGCAAGTAGCAGAGTATACTGAAGAATTCTGGGACCTAGCTTGTCATGAGACCTGGCCAGAGGATATTTTGGTGAGCTGTTTCAAGGATGGGCTGAGTGATGAGCTATACAATGCCTGTGTGGCCCGAGGTGCACCGATTCACCTACATGAGTGGTACATCACCACTGAAGAAGCCGAGATCGATATGGCCAGAGACCAGTACCGAGCAGGGTGAGTGTAGAAGAAATCCCCATCCAAATGGAAGCAAGAGCCCTTCAAACCACAAACTGCATTTTCTACAAAATCCTCAGCCTGTTTCAACTGTGGAAAAGAGGGGCACTGAGCTGCAGAATGTTGTTTGCAAACACCCTCCCAGAACCACCCACCGGGGGGGGGGACTTGTGAAACCTGGCCAGAGCAGAAAGGAAACTGCCCTGAGGAACAGGGAGATCGTAGAATTTCCATCCCCCCCCCTTTGGAGAGGAAACCCTGGCATCTCAGCATGAGGAATCACACTCATTCAGAAGCAATGAACCACTGGTAAGCAAACCAATTAAACCGCTTACCCTCCCCTTAAAACTATTTATCCCAAACCGAGAAAGGGAGATAAATATCTCCACTCTAGTGGACTCCGGGTGCACCCACTGTTTGATCAGCCCAACCCTAGTAGGGAAGTTGGGGATTAATTTAAGAAAGCTGAAAAACCCCATCGCTTTCTGCCAACTAGATGTATCAATAGCAGGGGGGGGAGCCAGCTTGTTTTGCCACCAAGCCTCTACATATAGACATCGGGAGCCACGAGGAAATACTTACATTTATAGTGACACCTGGCATGGAATGGCTGTTACTCTTGTGCCTTGCATGGCTGAAAAAATGGAATCCCAAAATTAATTGGAAACAAGGCATCATAAAGTTTCAGATGCATGTGACTTTTGCCAAGAATCCACATAAAGAAACTGAGGGAGCAGAGCACCGAGAAACAGCCATGCCTGGTCACGCCATGCCAACTGAGAGCATACCCATAGAAAACAAGGATTTGGCTGAAGTTTTTAGCGAAAAAGCCTCAAAAACCCCACCGAGTCACCAACTGTGCGATAGAAATTTTACCCGGTGCTAAACTCGCTAAACCCAAGATGTACAGAATGTCTCCAAGGGAGTTGGAAGAACTGAGAACATTTATTGAGAAAAACCTAGCAAGGGGTTTCATCAAGCCAGCCCGACCAAAAATCACAGCTCCAGTGTTATTTAGAGGAAAAAAAGATGGCTCAAATCATCTTTGTGTTGATTTTAGAAATTTGAATACGATCAGTGTGGAGAACATGTACCCCTCTCCCTTATGAAAGATATGCTAGCACACCTCGCTAAAGGGAAAAAAATTTCAAAGGTGCATTTAAGGGAGGATTATTACCGTGTCAGAATTAGGGACAGGGATGAGTGGAAAACGGCACTTAAAACTCCCCTTGGGTTCTACCAATTCAAGGTGATCCCTTTTGGATTACAAGGAGCCCACGCAGTGGTTATGCAATTAATAAATTAAGTGCTATATCAGCATTTGTATAAGGGGGTCCTGGTCTACTTGGACAACATTTTAATATATACCGAGACCAAAGCAGAACATGTAAAACTAGTCAGGACTGTTTTAACAAACTCCGTTCTGCCAAACTTTATGCTAAACTTTCTAAATGTGAATTCCACCATGAGAAGATTGACTATTTGGGGTACCACATTTCACACTAGAGCATAGTAATGGACCCTCAAAAAGTGCAGGCTGTACTTGATTAGGAACCACTCCACATGTGTAAACAGTTACAAAGCTTCCTGGGTTTTGCCAACTTTTATTGCCAGTTTATCCCCGCTTTCGCTCAGATTGCCCTCCCCATTACCAAGCTCTTAAAAACAAACGGGGAGGGCAACCCTAAACTGAAGCAGCCTTTGAACTGGACTAGGGAATTCCAAGCGGCATTTGAAAAACTTAAACGGCTGTTCTCAGCAGAACCAATTCTAAAACACCTGGACATGGAGAAACCATTCGTCATACAAGCAGATGCCAGCGATGTGGCAATAGGAGCAGTCTTGCTGCAGAAAAATAAGCAAGACCAGATACAACCATGCGCTTACACATCCAAAAAGTTGAATGAGACCAAGCAAAGATGGGCCATTTGGGAGAAAGAGGCTTATGCAATTTGTTGGGCACTGTTAACCTGGAGGCATTTCCTAGAAGGAAATAAGACCCTTTTGAAGTCTGGACTGATCATAAAAATGTAGAAGCCCTAAAGACCCCAAGGAAACTCTCCCCAAAACAAGTATGATGGGCTCAGTACTTTAAAAAGTTTGATTTTACTCTCAAATACCTCCCCAGGGGAAAAAAATTTCTGGCAGATGCACTCTCCAGAAAACTGCAATACAATAGTGCAAAGTCAGATGTAATCAAACCCATAGTACAAAACAATCAACTAGCCGCTAAAATAATCACCATATCCCAGGCAAAAAAAGAAAGAAAGAAACATTGATGGACAATGACAACACCCAAACTTTTAAACCAGCATTGGCCACTGATGAATGGTTTTTGAACCACAAATCCAGCTATCTGATGAAAGAAGACTTGGCCTGGGTGGGAGGTAAATTGTATGATTCAACCAGCCGAAGATTGGCACCACTAGGTGGACATTTTGGTTTTGTGAAAACTTGACACCTAATTAAAAGACAATTTTGGTGACTTCTGGTTTGCTGCTTGTTCCCGCTGGACGCTCCTCCGGGATCGTCGAACCCACTGCCTGTAAGAGCCGCCTTTTTCAGCGGAATGGCGGCTCGAAAAAACTCCGTTTCCATTAGGAAACAGAGATAGAGCCGGCTGGGGTGGGTAGAGTCCTCTGCCTAATCCCAAAAGTTTTTTATTTACTTTTGGGAGGGAGCGGAAGAGACTCCCCGTATCCCCAGCCGATGCTCCGGGCTCTGGGAAATCTCTGCTACACGCAGAGCTAGGGGGCAAAAGCAAGCCTGTAAATCTGTCAAATAAATTAATTAAAGAAGATATGAGCTGGACCTCTGATCCTGAAGCGCAAGTATTCTTTTTATTCTATTTTGCCTAAGAAGTGAAGTGAAGGGAAAAAAAGTTTTTTTTTAAAATGGCGATTGTTGCTGCGGCTTGAAGAGAGGCTGAAAGGGAAACTCCTTCCGTTTTCAATTACAAAGTAGCGGAATGAATACTTTTGGCTGTAACTGAAGGCAAAATCTCACTCTCACTTCTGTTTTTTTTTTCTGTTTTTTTTTTTTCTTCTCTCTTTGAGGATCTGATATTGATCTTGGTTGGAAAAAAAGTTTTTTTTCCTCTCTTTTCCAGTAAATTTTGTCTGCGTGGAAAAATGGCACTGAGACTTATAAAACTAGACAAACAGGCAGTGGGGGGGGGGATTCCCCCATTAATAAATTACATCAACAAGTTTTAACTCTCCAGTCTCAGAAACCTGACTTTAATATAATAGAATTTCTTCTTGAGGAGATTGTAAGAAGGGATGAGATTGTGAATCAGCAACTTGAAAAATTTAAGTTGGAAATCAAAGAAATTGGTGAATTGGTGAAATCTAAGTTTGGCTTTTTGGATCGAAAGATTTTAAAAGTAGCTAATGGCTTAGCAGACTTTATGACTCAGTTGGAAGCAAATACTAACTCTAAAATGAAAGAAACTGAGGAGAATTTGGATGACAAGATCCAAAAAATTAAAAAGGATTTGGCAAACATTCAGGATAATAGTTCAGAAGACAAACTTAAAATGGAGGCTGATCAAAAGACTGTTAATGAAGAAAATGTACAACAGAGGATTGAAAGAGAAGTTTTAATGATCCAATACAATTTTACAGAATATGCAATTAGACTGAGAGGTTTGCAGGAAGATGACAGAGATTTAAGGAAGATATCTTCTGAAATTCTGGCTGGGATTTTAAAGGTTCAACCTGATGAAGTGTTTTGCAGGATTGACAGAATTTATAGAATAAACTCCTGGTTGGCAAAACAAAGGCAATTGCCTAGAGATGTGGTGATTTATTTTACAGACAAAGAAATTAGAAATAATATTGTCCAGAATTCTTATGATTCTGCTTTGCAATTTCGTGGAAGGAAGATCTGGATTTTTAAGGAACTCCCGCCCAAGATGTTAATGGAGAGGAAGAAATTTGGTTTTCTAGTGAATGAGTTAAAAAAAAAAGGAATATTCTATTTAGGTGGGACGTCCCAGTTGGTTTAATATTGAGACACCAAGGAGTAAGATACCAACTGAATACTGTCGAAAAAGCGGAAGAATTTTATCAAAAAATTTTAAAAATAAATCTAACATCTTTAGGCATAACACAGGACAAGCAAAAGGAGTTGGAAATAAAGGGAAAACATCAAATTACAGAGGCTGTGGTAGATAAACTGTCTTTGGACTCCTTGGATACCCCAGCTGGACTGTCTATAAATTTGAGAGCAGTGTCATCTGATTCTAATGTGATGAACTATCAACTTACAGACAAGTGCGTAAATCACCCAGTTGATATACAAGTGATGGAAAAGACATATGAGATAATAAAACAAAACCAACAAGATCAATTTACAAAGCAGAATGACAACCGATCAGCTGATACACAACTTGTAGGAAGGAAATCTGGATGGAAATGCAACCCGCAAAAGAAAAAGAAAAGAAACAGATCTCGTAGAAATAGTAGTTTCTAAACCAAGCAACAGTGAAGCCAGGGATTTTTTTTAAAAAAAAATGAATATGTGAAAAGATATTGGAGGCGAATTATCGTTTAATA